CACGTGCAAAATCGACGCCCCTCACACGTGCAAAATCGACGCCCCTCACACGTGCAAAATCGACGCCCCTCACACGTGCAAAATCGACGCCCCTCGTGCAAAATCGACTACCTCAGTCGTGCAAAGTCAACCGACGTCACTCGTGTCAACCGACGTCACTCGTGCAAAGTCAACCTCGCTCGTACGAAGTCAACACATTGCACTCGAACGAAGTCAACACAATGGACTCGTACTATCGTACAACGTTAGCGTCCCCTGGTGCTAAGTCAACGCAATTCTCCGGTACAAGACACTTTTCACTCGTAAGTCGATGCAATTCACTCGTACAAAGTCCATGCAATTCACTCGTACAAAGTCAATCCACGCAATTCACTCGTACAAAGTCAATGCAATTCACTCATACAATGCCAACGCAGTTAACTCGTACAAAGTCAACGCAGTTAAACGTACAAAGTCAACGCAGTTAACTCGTACAAGGTAACCGCAATTGCCTGTACAAAGTCGATTCAATCTTAGAAAATACAATTCACGCTTAAAGTCGACGCATTCATTAAAAGTCAACTAAAGTCACTCATACATGAACTCATAACTCTCCAACAAAGTCAACGTTCATTCGTACAAAGTCGATGCAATCCGCCCGTACAAAGTCAATTCACTCCTAATGCAATTCACTCGTACAAAGTCTACGATTTCATTAAACGTCAACTGAAGTCACCCATTCATCAACTCAATTCCCTCCTTCAAAGTCAACTCATCTCATTAGTACGAAGTCAACTCAGCTAGTCCACACAACGTCAACTCATTCGCAAGATGTCACCTAACTCGTACAAAGATACAGACTGTACCGAGTGTACTCCACTCATCAGTACAGACCACTAGAAAATTACAGACTGACATTCTTAAAACGATCTTTTCGCTACGACAATTACAGACTGACGTTCTTGAAAGAAATATTTTCGCTAAGACAATACCTCAAAATTTAAAAACCAAACAATCACTGACAAATCCCCAAAACGCCGACTCTTTCTTACATGAATTTTCAACTCATGAATTTTCAACTTCTTACATCAGATTCTCCAAAACGCAGGCTCCTTACAAGAATTGTCAATTGAACTCAATTTTCAATTTGCCGGCGCATCACGTCAACGGTCAAATCGTATGCATCCAATCATGATTCGAATGGTATCATCGAACTTCGAAGTCAAGCGCTCGCCCTCGGAGTCCGCGCACCAGGCAGAGCGATCACGCAGCAGCAGCAGAATACGACTGCCCTGTCAGATCCTGCGCCTTCTGACTCAGGAAGTCTCTCGACCTCTGCACAGCGTCTTGGAAAACTTCTTGGGCCCTGGACAACCCTTCGCCACCCGCAGGAAGAGAACCCCTGTGGTACTTGAACAAATATAGCACCGCGACTGCACCGTCATAAAATGAAATAAATACATGAGATGATGAGGTAGTACATCACGAAAGAAATGTCATCCGCCCGGCGCCCACACAAGAATTGAAGAATACGTACGTATGTTCTACGTACAAACGCACACCGCATCGCGGTCACAAGACTCAGAACCAGTTCAACCAGACAATGGCACAAACACAAACAGGAGAACACCAACGACAAAAGCAACAACAGTTACCAAGAAGCCCAATTGTGCATTTTCAAGTTAGTTCAACGAAATTAACACTCGACATCAATGCCACAGAAACACAAGAACAGGAGGCAAGAACAAAGGAAAAAATTAACGGCTCACCAAATCCACAAAGGAACCCACGATTTCATCTTGCCTGTTCCTTATTGGTATCCCTCTCTCTCTCTCTCTCTCTCTCTCTCTCTCTCTCTCTCACACACACACACACACACACACACACACAC